CTGGAAATTTGGGCGCACGAACATTCCTACGAGCGCATGTGGCCACTATACAATCGTACTGTAAGCATACCGTTTTTTTCTTGAATTTTTTTCACCATTTTCTAAACTTTTAAACAGTAAAGTATTAAAACAAGTAGCACAATAATGAAGACGCACTGCCTCAAATTTCACTTGTTCCAACTCCTATATAAATCCCATTTTTTACCGAAAACATTTTTTTTTTGGGATAAAATAACAGCAATGTTAAAATAAATGGTCCTAAGTAGAGTGAAGTAAGCATTATTTGATTTGATTTCAGGTTTACAATGGTACTGAAGAGCCATATATTGATCCACCAGCACCTGTGCATATTATTTCAGGATCCGCTGTAAGCGTATTCACACTTGGATCTACGCTTTAAAGAGTTTCAAGTGGCTTTTACTTCTCATTGTAGCAAAAACAAATCCTACCGGAATTTGGTTTTCTTTTTAAGTGTATGACGATTGCACCAGCTGTCGTAATATCTATCGAACTATAATAAACATTCCTTTTTAGTTAACGCTGGCTTGGCATTAGTAAACAATAGTTTCAGGGATGCCAAGAATACACTGATCCATTTGTACCCCAGCCACCACCGTGGAGTGCATTTCGTTCATCAAACTACGGTTTTGGTCGACTTCATGTGTTTAATACAACCCATCTGTACTTCGAACAAGTATCCGCATCGAAGGTTCTCAATTTTCTTTTCGAATTAATTTCGCATTACTTGAATGAGGTATCACTTCCAACTACATCTGCTCATTTCTAATGTCGATCTTTTGAAAAATATCCTATCAGATCTCACAAGATCTTAGAAAGTTCTAATAAACAAAATTTCTCGAGAACACATTTCATTCGCGCTCACTGATCTGAAAACTATCAACCTGAAATACTAAAAACGTTTTAAAAAGTCCAAAAGTCGATTAATTGTGAAAGAATAATAAAGAGATGATAGCACTAAAAAAATATATATATATACTGAAGTTCGGTGATAATATCAGAAAAAAGTTATCGGTAGTAATGAAGTAACTTGGGAATGATCGGACAATATACAGAAGATGTGGTGTTAATGCTTTCACAAGTCTCTATTCTGAATTATGTGTTTGTCCAACTTTTCCAATTCGAAGAAGTCCTTACTATTCCGGTCCTTTTCCGATGGAGTGAAAGTATTATTGTGAAAGTTGCGTTGTGTAGGAGGATTTGTCAGTTGGCAACTACGACTGGCTTATTATACGAAAGGCTTATGGACCTTGAAATATTTATTTCCTTAATACAAATAAAAGCAGTGAAAAGGTGTCGTTGAATAAAAAATCGATATCGATCACCTGTTTGGGTTTGAACTCCTTGTAGATATAGTTGGAAAGATTTTGTTATGTGCTGCTAGTTCAGAGTTCAAACATTGAATCCCTTACTGTCCGTGTCTCTTATATAGTGGAAGTTTGTTTACAACAATCCAAGAAGTTAGAACCCGATTGACTCCCTTTGTGACTGAAGTTCTTTATATTATGCCGACATTGACCTCAAACTTAGTAATCAGCATGAGTTGATTTACAGCACCTTAGAACACCAGTTGAACTATACATCTATACAATATCGATATTATTTTTATATTAAAAATATTTCGGTTTTCCCGACAACCATTGCCATCGCAATTAGCTGAGGATATTTACTGAAAATTAAAAGGATGTTGCAATGACTTTCTTAAATCTTGGTACTAAAAATGACAATATTGTAAATTGACAATTTCAGGACGAAACGGAAGACCGTTTCTGGTTGATCAAGTACAAGCACGGTCCTTATACCTCTGAGCATCGTAAAAAGCTGAAGCAGTTTGGTACCTATGTGCTCTAAAACATTGCAATTATCCATCGAATTACTCGGACATAAAGTTCCAACTTCCATAGTGAACAAATCATTCTAATAGTTTGTATGTTAATCGAATTCCACGGAAATAAATAATTCATTAAGAAATTATCAATTTATTGGATGACGGATTTATAATTGTATTTAGAAAAGTTTCTGCTGACAAGAAACACTGAAACAAAGATCTGGTCATGGAAATCAATTTTACTTGAATTTTGCAAATATTTTGGATGTGTTCCCAAACAATGTTCTAAAGGACCGCTAGCAGGATGGCAGAATATACTAAATGCCAATCGAAAATTTGAAAATAATCCAGTTACTTTCAATGTATCACCATTTCTTATTGTAGAAAGAAGTTCCAGGCTTAGAATCGTCACCTTCTAAACGTCTTATCCCTTTGTGGAACTTTTTTTACATAATGAAATTATATTCCAACACTTCACCATTTTAATGTAGATATACGAAAAATAACACTCTGGAATGACTGAGAACTTGATTCTTATGATTTCGTAAATCATTTCCAGTTAAAGATACCAATTAGTTTCAAATTCGATTTGCGTTCAACAAGGCAAGATGACGGTGTGAAATTGGAAATTTATCGTACTATGAAAGAATGCCTTGCTGAAGTACAATGAAAACATCTACTGCGAATAAAACATCTGCTTTTTTTAAAATAAACATTTTTGTAATCAAGAAAACACTTAACAGAAGAGCAATATAAAATAGACAGAATGAAGCGAAGCAAATCGGAATATACAGTTTTTAAATATATTTGAGGTCCAAAATAAACTTTTATATACAATGACTCTCAGAACGAAATCCAATATTTAAAAAGAAAAGTCAGAAAAAAAACTGAACCATTTATGCTTTCAAGAGCTAATTCTCGAAGTTTTCTGAAAATTTTTTGGAAGTTTTCAAACTTACAAATATTTTCATTTTGCAATGACCATTCCAGATAGAATAAAGAAGTGGTTTGATGAGCCAGATATAAGCGAGGCTTCGTTGATCGCAAAAACAACAATTTAGATGGATAATTAGCTAAGCAATAGTGTTAAACACTTTTCATATTCTGTTTCCTAAACCATTCCGAAAGTGTTTTCAGATTTCTGTCTCGCCACAGCTGAAAATTATTGGATCGATAACAGGAATAAGGTTGAAATGATAAGATTAAACTTTCTTGACACTTCAGTTATTCTACTTTAAAATCAAAGAACTTAAAATCTAGGTCTAAGAATAATATAACCATGAAATGAGACTGCTGCGAACCTTTGCAGTTCTGCTCTCTTCCAACTGTTGTCCAAATACATCCAACTTAGTCGTATCTTTCCTGTACTTCTTTATGAAAGCTTCAAGCTGTAACAAGAGTTTAAGTTTCTAAAGGTATTAATGTAAAAAAAAAAGTTGTTCAAGATTTCATTTCAAAATTTTATCCTTTTTTGGAAAAAAAATCGTTTAAATTTTATTTCCATCAAAAAGACAAAATTTTGAATGAAAGTTTTGAAGATAAAAAAGAGTTTAGGAAAAAAAAGACTTGTTCACCTGAGCAACTTGTCTTTCATTTGATACTGATGTTGAACTCGAGATAATTCTTCGTAAGAAATTCTGCTGCTCCTTCATACTGAAACACAAATTTTGCAAGCAGATAAACTATAATTTGGCAACTTCAAAAATATTAAATTCTACTGAAAAATAAGGAATTGGCAATAATGCACCAATAATCAGTAAGTCCAAAGAATTAATTTATACCGAAAATTTTGCGTTAAAAATTTATGTTAAAACGTTGCAATATTACTCTGAGTAGAGCTGAGGCCAGCTGTCCTGGAAATAGTCAAAGATGATCAAACGGCCGACATCTCCAGCACTAACATAACGAAATGTGATCGGCGTATCTTGTAATCGAATCGATGAATCATTCAGATCAGATGCTACTTTCAAAAGTCTAAACTGATGAATTCTTTCAATTAGCAATTTCAACCTTTAGAGCTAAAGGTGTTCAAAGCGGAAGATGACTGCCAGTCTAGGTTTCCATTCGTTTTCATCCGAGTTTAATCTCGCTTTTCCAAATTACAAAACTTCTCAAACGAGGTCTCTGACTCCAATATTCATCATAAATCGGCTTTTACATTTTAAGAATTATAGTAAAAAGAACTTTTTAAGACTGAATGAATCGCGTGAACACGTCAGAGCTCCAAGCAAGCGCTCTCGTTCCACTTGAACCCGCTCATGCTTATAAAGTTGAAACACTTTGTTCCATATTTTCTCCGCACCTACTCGTACACCTTCACAGTACACTTGCGATCGCACTGGTATTGGAACTCTATAAACGGAAACTTGACAGGAATCTGCTTCATTATTGGAATTTAAATTTCGTCATTTCCGAAGTGTAGAATAGTTGAGGGACTAATTACTACATTTCCATTTCTATTTAGATCATTAACGTAAATGCAACTGCTGCACTATCTAACAAATACATTCGACCAAAACTTCGAATTCAGTGCTTGCTTGCTTGGCTTGAAGACGATAGTTATTGGTGAGGATTTTCATGAAGTCAAAAGGAGAAGAAATAAAGAAGACGAAAAGACGGACTCACGGCCTTAGCGTGCAATTGAACTAGGGCTTAAAAGTTAATTAAAGTTCCTTTTTACTGGAATATCTTGATGTGAATGCAGAAAACAAACTTGCTACATTCACTGCTCAGAACATTTTCATCTTGACACTGATCAAAAAAGTTTTTAAGAAATAAGCCATTTAGCTTTTCCGTACAATTTATATTCCTCAGATAATACATTTGTCGGATGATCGCATAGCGCAGTTCACTGGAATAAATATTGAAATACTACTTGAAAGACAAATTTTCGGAGTAATTTTTCCGTGCTTATTTAATCAAAATCTCATCAAATTCATCAAAACTTCAACTCAGAAGATCAAAAGTTATATCGCAAAAACTATGAAAAAAAAGTACTTTTCAAAGAAAAGCTCGTCAACCAAATAGGATGTCTCCAAAGTTCTCCAATCGATGCGATTATATGATGGAAGAAGTAGTGGTTCCAAGTAATCCTTAATTGAATGATATTTAGCTTAAATAAATAATGCATCTCTAAAGTATATTTAATGCCAACCTAATTCATAAAAATTTATCCAGTTACGGACTATAATGATCAGTGAACAAGACTAAACCTCCAAGAGAGAAGAGACTCAGAAAAGCTTGAAGAGCAGTAATACTTTCCAACAATAATTGAATAAATATCAATTATCTTTAATGTATATATTGAAATAACTTACTCTGACATACTGAATTTCAGGTTCATCGCCAAAATTTTTCAAAATGGTACCAATACCATTTAAGGCCATTCTCCATGGAAGGAATTCTCTCTCCATCGGTAAATATTGTGTTAGATTTAATGGAATTTCGTAAGAAATATAGTTAGCTTCCGCAAGAGCAAAAGCATCATCTAAAATCCGAGCACGAGTGCGCACATCAATTATCTAGAATTCAGAAATTATTCCGCTATCAAAACGTAGATGCTGATACTTTCGATAATAGCACTTCATCAGCATTTTCAAGTCCAATTATTTCATTTCTAACTAATACGATTGTATTTATAGTGCTGTAAAATTATCTGATAAAGGAAATGATTATACCAATAAAGATGCCGATGAGAATCTTTGAGCCTTATTGGTGATACTGTCTTATTCTTTTCTGGTCTATTATCTAATAAATTTCTAATCTCCTCTTAAAGCTGTAGAAATATTACTGTATGATCTTTCAGCAGCTGATCAGTTATTTTTAGCCATAATTCCAGATTATAGTTGACACGGTAAAAACCTTTTGAACCAGAATTTAAAACCAAGAGATCTTCTTCGCCCACATCCAAACCTTGAGCTAAATTAAATAAATTTTTTTTAAAAAAAAACAGAAGCTGACCAGGAAATTTAAAAACTGTATAGAAAGATGTTACCACACTGACAATTTTCTTTAATTTTAAACACAAAAATTTAAGCTCGGAATTTAAATCTATTTTTCGAATTATAAATTTCTAGAAAAATTTGCAATTCATATCCAAATTCATCGACCCAACCAATCATACATGATATAAGAGTGGAAATAAGTGCTGCTATTTTCAAACACAATGGAATATCTGCGCTTGAGGATTCAAGCAAGATGAGAAAGCAGTGCCTTAATATTGGTCTACCGAAGGCAAGCAATCAAAATCACAGATAAACCATAAACAGCTTGAACAGAATGGCTCAAGCCAATGAAAACCCTTAATTAGCATATATTTCCGTAAGCACTAAAATGTGCACTGTAATGAGTACCGTAATCTCGGTAAAATCTCATTAGGAAATCCCATTTAATTCATTATAATTCTAATAAAACAGTTACATTCATGCAACCAAGTCATTGCCATTTCTTCCCCATTTACTGCGTACCATATTGGTATGTCATATTTATACCTGCAAAATGTAGAAATGTTTGCGACACCTTAAAAATCAGCCATGTAATTAAAGGCTAGAAGAAATTAAAACATTTCCATATCGATATTTCAAAACTTTCAAAAAAAGATCGTCAAATTACATTTTCAATGACTAACCAAAACCTAGCATTGCGAAATTTCTCGCGCTCAAGCGCATCCTCATCCCATTTGAAGCGCTTTTGACGCAGCTCAACCTTTTTATCATCGATCCGACGCACTTCAACCACTGGGTAACCCATCTATGAATAAAGGTGTTAGCACGTCTATCTACATCAGTTAGCATTTATTTTATACGTTATGAGCTCAAATATTTGTCAACTCATCATTATCCGCAAAGTATTTGTAATAATTAATGTAATTAAAGAATTTAATCACAAACGGCGCTTGCTTCAATCCTTCAATATATTACACATAAACAATAAACAATCCGGTATTCTAATATTGCAACTCACGTCATTTCTGTCGATTTGCGATAATTAAGAATACCTGTTGAGTCCACTTGGATGCAAAGTCTCTTATGTCAAGCTTATCGCCCTCCCATGACAATAGTGCGTCCGGGACTGCCCCATTGAGAGCACTCCATAAATCATCATGATCTGCATTGCGGTACTTGTGGCTTTCTAAGTAGTTCTAAAACTTAATAATGAAATTTTTTTGTTTAACTATTTGGAATATCAAAACCAAGCCGAAAATGATCAATATCACAGCAAATATCTGATCACGGCCATGAGATTAGAATGTATATCTTTACCGATATCTGAGGACTGTCTAAAAAGGATTTTTTGATTTTCCTTTCTGAATCGAGAAATATATAAATATG